AAGCAACAACACTAAAATATAGATCAGTTTATTATAATAAAATATAGTTCAGATTTAGAATTTCTTTATTTTATTTATGGTTCATTATTTCGATTTTTGATTTTATCTGAATTTGAATTTAAATGTTTTAGTTTTTATTTCGATTTTAACTAAAAGCAACAACACTAAAATATAGATCAGTTTATTATAATAAAATATAGTTAAGATTTAGATTTTCTTTATTTTATTATTTTATTTATGGTTCATTATTTCGATTTTTGATTTTATCTGAATTTGAATTTAAATGTTTTAGTTTTTATTTCGATTTTAACTGAAAGCAACAACACATAGATAAGTAACACTGATTAAACTCAGTTTATTATAATAAAATATAGTTCAGATTTTGAATTTCTTTTTTTTTTATTATTTTATTTATGGTTTATTATTACGATTTTCGATTTTTATCTGAATTTGAATTTAAATGTTTTAGTTTTTATTTCAATTTTAACTGAAAGCAAACAACACATAGATAAGTAACACTGATTAAACTATTAAACTAGCCCTTAGTTAGATACAAAACTGAACGAACGTTGTGATAATCTTCTTTGATGCATGATACCAACTGAGTAACAGCCTTCCACGTTTGGGTTTTCTCATCGACAGCTGATTTAAAGCTGATCAGAGAGTGCTGCCAGCGGTCGGTTGATGGAATAGCCTCCAGCTCGCGGAAGTTAGAGATGCGCACTTCTCTTCGCTTCAAAGGCTCGCTCCGGTGCATATATTCTGAACCTGTTCGGCATGATAACTAGCTTTTTAAAATCCCCGCTCGGATAGATTTAGAATCTTCATCCTGGATACAATAAAAATACTATTTAAACAAAAGCATACTGATAAGCAATGAACAATATTTATATTCCCTCCTACCCCGCATAAATATATTTTTATACGATGCTCATAACATGAATTAGTAGTCCAATTCACTAACAATTTTATCAATCACATCGATCGTCTAAGAATACAATTAAATACGTTTTCATAAAAAAAATTAACCTATGACTGATAATTTATTCACAACATCCAATCAAATAGAAACTAACTTTTCATCACGCGAATGGTAACTCAAACTATTAAAATTTAATAAGATTTGCTTACCTCAGAATCTGGAAAAACTTTTAATTTACGTTCCTGCTGGTCGAAGCTGGGGTGAGTGATGATGATATATCAGCTTCAGATTCCGACTCGCTTCCGAATAATTCAACTCGTTTCTTGGACTTAGGAACTATTGTTTTAGTCTTTAATACATTAGCTGGTTTACTGTACTTCAGCGTTTGACTCGAAGGGGTTGGAATACCTAAAAATGTAACACAAAATATATCACTATACAGAAACACTCATATGAAAAACTTATAAAGCGAAACATAATATAACTTTACTCTAACATAATATAACAAATTAATTATTATTCTATTGTGTTTAAGTGAGGAGACTAAGTGTTACGTACATACTTGCTGTCTTGATGATGATGATGTCGAACACTTCCAAGTCTAGTAGACTGCAGAAAACATAGTTGCATCGTGTTTTCTTTGTTCATAGTTGCATTGTGGTTAAACACCTCCCGACACCATATTTTATACCCTAAATTATAACACTATCCCCGCTTGGAAGTATTTTAGTTTGACGTATTTTAAAATGAAGAAATATTTCATTTGGTAACTTTAGCATTGACCCGTATTAATGTTATTTTTAAGGAATATTTTTGCTTATTAACATTAAATGCATATGTGTAAAACACTTAGCATAAATTTTTGCATACGATGTTTAATCAACGTTTGCGTTGTCAGCCCGAAACACCATTGGCGCCAGCCCGACGCGGTAATATGAGACTACAGTGTTTTACAGGTAAAAGCGTGATTTCACAATAATATGGAAATGGGTCAGCATATAGCGGTCAATGTACTTATTAAATTTTGATCCATTATAAATATATCTTTGTTTAAAATTAATGCTTTTTGAAGAAAAAAACTTACAATTTTCAATCTTAAACTGAATTTTATACTATTCGTAATATATCTAGATAGTATATAGTCTGGAATAACATCCAGGCGTTTTTTGTAAAAGCGTTATATATTGCCTACCCATAAATTAATTACTAATTCTACAAAGTATAAAAACTGGTATTACAAGCTTATGTTTGTTCCTAGTGTTTAAAAATGAACATATTTTTTTTCTTATGAAAGTCATAAATATATTTCGATGCTAAGTTAATATGTTTATTTACTTAAAATTTGTGTAAATAAATTAGAATGTATCTGTCCTGCACCAAAAAATGAGGTTAAACGTCATGGGAGCTTATTGCCAAATACGATACGTAGTATTGTATGCGGTCCATCGAATTGCGGAAAAACTAACTTAATTATCAGCTTAATGTCACATCAGAATGGACCGCGTTTTCGCAACCTTTATGTATATTCAAAGTCTTTATATCAACCTAAATACTTATTTTTAGAAAAAGTACTGCAGAATGTGGAAGGTATATCTTATTACAAGTATAACCATAAAAGTGAAATTTTGAGTCCACACGAAGCTTCGCCTAACTCAATTATAATATTTGACGATGTAGCTTGTGAAAATCAGAACAACATACGCGATTATTTCGCCATGGGTCGACATAAGAACATTGACTGTTTTTATATTAATCAAACGTATACTAAGATACCTAAGCAACTAGTTAATAAGGCTAACCTGATCATATTGTTTAAACAAGATGACGTAAATCTGAGACACATTTATGACGAGCATGTAGGGTCTGACATGACATGGTCTCAGTTCCGGGAAATGTGTTCAACTGTGTGGAGTAAACCTTTCAATTATATTGTTATAAATAAAGACTGTGAACGAAATAAAGGCTGTTACAGAATGAAGTTTGATACATTCATAATTACCTAATTAACATACACAACATAATTACATAAAAATACATAACATAATTTTAGACTAATCGTTTAAATAGCTGCTATGTCACAAAGCAATCAGTTTCTGCTGAGTAGTCAAACGTAGTACAATTCCTTTACAATGGAGCGAGACCTCAAGAAACAAATTGTAAAATCTGCTGCAGCTGTAAAAGAAAGGTAGAAATGATAAAAGATGCAAAAAATACAAAGTCTGGCTTTGGAAACAATATTTAAGCCTATCGTTGATCCACTTAATATGCTTACCAGAAAAACTGAAGAAAAGCAGCATTTAAATGAAGATACAGACCAAGCTCACCTTATTATAAAACCTAAGTACAGCACAAGTGAGTCATCGATTTCTTCAAGTGATGTGTTTGAAGATCCCGTTAATAATGAAGAAAACTCAGATAACAATGTTTATACAACATCCCAAAAAACCCTCACTCACTCGCTTCCTGCGGATGATAATGACGTGAATGAAATTTCGTTTAAATCACATCAATCAACACCAAGTATTGCAAATGATTCATTATCATGGACTATGTCATCTGAATTACTAAAAGATGTGCCTTATGGTGTCAGAAATGAACGTGGGAAACTAATGCTCGGCACATTTCGTGTCTATGATGATGATCACATCTTAAAAATTGGAAATCATAGTTTGAAAAAAACTCCAGGCTTAAAAGAGTTATTGTTTAAAAAGCTACCAAATTTAGATATTGTGACAGAGGAAGACTTACAAAATTATAAATTGTTACTTTTGCATACTAATGCACACAAACGTAATTATGATCCATCCAAACCGATTAACAGTAACAAAGGATTTAAATATATGCAAGTGATCAAACCATTGTTTAAGCACTCGAGAAATCATAAAAGTAGTGCAGAAAGTCTTCCAAAGGGAGAAGGAGTTGATATTTTAAAAGAAGTTAAAAAAGATACTGATTTGGTTTACTGGAACGATCCAAACGAGTTAGTGGAACGATTAAAATTACTACGTGGATCATGGGCAGCTGGTAACACAGGGGTTTACAATGAAACTTATGCAATAATCGAAGAATTGCATGAATCTGGCATCATAAAAGACATTAAATATATTAAGCTGCCTACAGGAGGATTACGCAGTACCATTTTATTACAGAAGCCGATAAGACGGCTAGGAATATAGACAAATTTGGTCATCAGGCTTATAAGCGTTTACGACTATCTGAATGCTCTGATATTCTCAGTGACGCTTTAGTAAAAACAGACGCAGGTGATTTTGATTTGAAATCAACTAGATTAAAAGGACTGCAAACTCCTGGAAAAGAGGATGAGGCTGTGAATAAAGAATATGTGGATAAATGTGTTCAAGAACTTAAAAATGAAATGAAAACAATTCACAATAATATCAAAAAGTACCTTAACAATTTAGAAAAATTGACAACTATCAATTTCAGGAAAATGTATTACACTAAAAAGGAAATCGACCTCATGATTGCATCAAAACCTGCCCAAAATGAGTAAACAAGATATAGTCAATGAGCTTCACAAAGCAGCAAGAAGAAATTTTTCTCGTCAACATACGATTATTAAAGGAATATATGATTTATGGCAAGCTGACCTGATTGGTTTTCAAAAATATTCAACGTTTAATAAAGGATATAAATATATTCTAGCAGTAATCGATGCTCTATCAAAATACGTATGGGTTAGACCATTGAAAACGAAACATAAAAATTGTGTCAAAAATGCGATGCAAAGTTTATTATCTGAATCAAGACGAAAACCTAAAAATTTACAAACAGATCTTGGTACAGAGTTTTATAATGATTCTTTTAAGAATTTAATGAAAAATTATAATATAAATCATTATTCCACGTACTCCGTTAAAAATTTCCTTTTGCCTCCATTATAGAACGAGTAATAAGAACTTTATAAACTCACCTTTACAAAATATTTAGTCTATGCGGACGATATCAATGGTTCAAAAATAATTTAGATTTTGTTGTAAAGCGGTATAATAATACTTTACATCGCATTACAAAATTCAAGCCTATCAACGTTAATGAGTCAAATGCGATTTTACTTATGTCAAACATCAAGAAGTCTCAAAAGCCTAAGATACGTCAAGGACCGGCATTTCACGCTGGTAATTACGTTCGTATAAGCAAATACAAAGGAGATTTTTACAAAGGTTATACCCCTAATTGTTCTACAGAAATATTTCGTATCGTTAAAGTCAACCAAACCAATCCTCAAACCTATCAAATAGAAGACAAACACAATCAAAAAATTCTAGGCTCTTTTTACGGTTACGAATTACAAAAAACTAAATTTCCAGACCTTTATCTTATTGAAAAAGTCATTAAAAGAAAAGGAAATAAGCTTTTAGTAAAATGGTTAGGTTTGAGTGATGAAGAAAATAGTTGAGTGGATAAAAGTGAATTAGTGGTTTAGGTATATAAATAACGTATTATTACGTAATAATCTCATTTTATACTTATCGATGAAGGAAGGCAGTGGTATAATTAATAAAGTAATAGAAAATTTACCGTTTGAGTTACATTTACCCGGCTATCAATTTTGCGGCCCCGGAACGAAACTTCAAAAACGGTTACTCAAAGGCGATCGTGGGATAAACAAATTGGATGAAGCGTGCATGCTCCATGATATTGCTTACACTAACAAAGATTCGGGCGCTCGACAAAAAGCGGATTTAGAACTTTTAAAAATGGTTAAGAGGAGGTTGAAATCAGAAGATGCTAGGAAAGGAGAAAAAATTGCCTCATGAACAGTCAAAAATGCGATGAAGGTGAAAATCCGGGCGGGGAGCGGTATAAAAGCATTTAAGAAGGGGATAAAAAAATACAGTCTCAGTTGAAAAAACTAAAATCCAAAGACAGTCACTCGGCTATAAAATATGCCTATGCAGCTGCAAAGAAAATATTTAGTAATAAAAAAGGAATAAGTTTACCCCGTTGTATTCCTCTGCCAAAGTATGGAGGATTTTTACCACTTATTCCCATATTTGCAGGATTGTCAGCTTTAGGATCATTAGCCGGTGGAGCAGCGGGTATAGCAAAAGATGTTAATGATTCAAAAGCAGCACAAAAGAGTCTTCAGGAATCTGAAAGACACAACAGAATGATGGAAGCCGTTGCTCTAGGAAAAGGATTATATATTAAACCTCATAAACAAGGAGCAGGTTTATATCTTAATCCCTCAAAAAACTAATTAAACGGCTACCCAGACGGGCGCTCACTAATCTCGACATATTAGAACATGCAAGTGACATTCCATACTTTCGCGGCGTTTTCATCAGAAATAAATTACCTTTGAAACCGAGAAAGATAGAATGTGGAATACTGAATTTGGATAGCTACAGAAATCCTGGAACGCATTGGGTAGCCTTTGTAAAGCACAATAAATAGGTAGAATATTATGATAGTTTTGGGAATTTAAAGCCCCCGTTAGAATTAGTTAAATATATGCATAACTTACCTATTAACTATAATTATGCACGACATCAAGCGTTTGGTGCTACAAACTGTGGACATCTTTGTCTAAAATTTTTAAGGAATTACTGGAAAAAGCATTTATATAGTGTATGAAATAAATAAACGTATCAGTATAAAAATGTCTTTCACTGTGTCTATAACTGGGACAGGAGCCTCTTTATCAACGAACTATTCACCGACAATAGAACTACGAGGAGACTACGAATGTGGTCTTTTGTATTTTTCAACTTTCAATTCTATTCCCAATATAGATGAAAGAAACAATAAATTTTATTATGGTGAAAAAGAAATGATCGAAATTCCTGAAGGGTCTTACGAGCTTCTAGATATTTGTGATTATCTAAAAAATAATATTAAGAACGCTGTACTAAAACTAACTTGTAACAATGTATAATGTATTATACATTGAAAACAAATATTTTTTGCTCTGAAGATGTGCACTTTAATAGAAGCGAATCACTGGGTAAAATTTTAGGCTTTGGTATGGAAACAATAAAAGCAAATATAAGTACTGAATCAAAGTATCCTGTCAGTATTCTATCGACAACCATCGTGCGTATTGAATGCGATGTAGTTAGTGGTTTATTTGTCAATGGGAAAGCAAGCCATATAATTTTTGAATTTGCACCTAATGTACCACCTGGTTATCGAATAATTGAAATACCCAGAAACTTGATTTATTTTCCTGTTACCCAAAGTTCCATAAGTGCTATCAATATAAAGTTATTGAACGCTGAGAATTAAGAGATAAATTTACGAGGTGAAGAAGTAAAACTGTATTTACATTTCCGAAAAAAAAAATGATAAATTTCAATAAAAGCCCGTCTACTTCGTGTATCCAAGCCAGTTTTAAAAGAACATCTCATAAAGGCACACCTCTTCAGCTAAAAAAGAAGCTTACCAAGTTTAACAAAGAATTTCTTAAGCTAGTTGGCTTGATAAAATAATATTTTAAACGTATCTCAACAAACATCATACGATAACAGCATTGAAAGTTTTGAGTATCATTCATACAAACCATATGTAACTAGTTTTAACAAGAATGATGAAATACGTATTCCTATTAATTAACAAGACCTGTACGTACTACCTTCACTCAGTAGTTTATATCCTCGTCCTGCCCATTGTGATTTTAAAATCACAAAATATACTTCACGGTTCCTGCCCAGCTAAACAATTGTAAAGTTCAAAATTCTGCCCACTGTCTTTAAAAAATCACATATTCAAATATCGCGCCTAGAATTTGTATTTTCTACTCAGATGTCGTTTTTGATGTTTCTTGTGATTGGTTAGATTATAACCAATAAGTGAACCTTAAATTTAATTTGGTAATAAACAACAGATTAACGTCAGAAGCCATTCACTTGTTAAAAATGGAGCCACGTCGGAGAAGAGGTATGTTTAATCAATTACTTTCATTTAGATCAGAAGCTTTTCTTTATTAAAAATAAACAGGATTCAATTAAAATAACCGATATAGTGAGTTACATAACTATTTTTAAATTTCGTTAATAATTGTATTTTTAAGAAACGTAAATAATATTATGTGATTCAAAAATCACATTGGGGAGAACTTTTTGGTAAATTGAGATTTTTTTCGCAGATCTAGACGATGAAGACATCAGCAATTTGTTAGAAGATTCCGACATTGGGGACTTCATACCTTCCGACGAAGATTACGAAGACCCAGAATTTGTACAACCAGAAAGCAGTTTTAGTTTTACGGAGGAAGAAAGTGATGGACCTGACGTAAGTACATCATTTATACAAGCTTGCGGAAGGACAAGGCGAGGCACGCGGGGGCTTCTCGTGGGCAGTCAAGAGGAAGGTCACGAAGGCGGACACGTAACAGCACTGGCAGCAGAATAGATAATAATATACCATCAACTGCATACGAGGGCTGGTCGCACCAAGAATTATCCCCGATTCAACCTCTTCTAACAGAACCATCATTCCTGCCCATTAATACAGAATCTTTCTCCAAGATGGACTATTTTAGACAATACTTTGACGATGAAAAACCATATGTTTTGAAAAAATTAATCAAACTGCTGTTAGATTAACTGGTAACAGTTTAAATCTAAAATTATCAGAACTGAAAATGTACTCTGCTTTATGTTTGATAATAGCTAGTATTAACTATCCAATTCTTCGTATGTACTGGTCGAAAATATGGCTGATTCCAATTGTGGCTGAAAACATGTCACGTAATCGATTCCAGCAATTACGAAACTTGTTGAAATTTGTCTTTGATGACGATATCACATCTGAACAAAAAGCCAAAGATAAACTCTTTAAAATGAGACCGCTAATTGATCATGTCCAGAAAAGTTTTCGTCTACAAGACAAAAATTAATATATTTGCGTAGATGAAATGATCATTCCATTCTTCCACTATAGGTTTGAGAAGGCTTTTGTGCTGGTAAATCCGAATGGTATAGTATGCGACTTTGACATTTATCAGGGAAACCCAACTTACTCCCAATACAAAAACACTAATTTCAGTCTAGCAGAAAAGGCTTTTTTTTTTTTTTTGCGGATGGAAAATCATCAAATGACGCCTTTCGCTCTGGGTGGAGCGGAAGGGAGTGTCAGACTTTTACTGACTAAAAACCATCCGTGTTCCTTCAGTGCCCTTACGTTCCGGAGCCGCGGTATCTCTTTCGAACAGCCCGCAGCCCCGGCAGGCGTCGGCCCTTGCGGGCCCCTTCACGCTGCTGACAGCTCTTTGAGGCGCGCGTGGAACAAAACGCGCCGTCGACACGGCCTGTCGTCGTTAGACGGACGGACGGCGAGCTACCCATTGCTCGCCGTCCACAGGCCCGCGCCTACGGTGGCCGGGGGCCACGACGTAGCCCCCGACGCCCGGGGCGTCTCCCGCGGCGGCCGGGAAGGAAAGCTGCTGCTCTCTCCTTCTCCCGCTCCGCCACCTCCTTCGCTAGCATCACTGCTTCGCAGAAGGTGGTGACGGCATCCCATTCCGTCTCGCTCCGGACCATGGCTTCGACCAGGGCCGGACGCGAGAGGTCGCCGCCGCCTATCGCCGCTACGAGGACACGGCGGTGCTCCGCCCAGGCAGGGCACACCTCCACGGTGTGCTCCACCGTGTCCTCCGGTCGATCCTCGCAGTGGGAGCACCCGGGCGTTTCCTCCCGCCCGATTCGGTGCAGGAACCTCCCGAACACACCGTGTCCGGTGAGGACCTGCGTCAGGCGGAAGGTGAGGACGCCGTGGCGTCTCTCAAGCCACTCCTCAAAGAGAGGTCTTATCGCCGCTATAGTGGCGTGCCCAAGCAGAAAAGGCTGTACTGGCACTTGCGGACCAGCTAGTTCCGGGTCACGTGCTATACTTCGATCGGTATTTTACTTCCCAGAAACCGGCAGATGAACTTAACAACAGAGGCATACTTTGTACAGGTACTTTGATGGAAAATCGTATCCTTCATGGGTGTCAGCTAAAAGATGATCGAATAATGAAGTCTGAAGGCAGAGGTAGCACTCATGTGCTAGTGAGGCCAGATGGTAAATTGGCTGTTACTAAATGGTCTGTTATTTTTTTATCAACTATTGAGGCCGAGAATAACTCGGATTTATGTCAACGCTAGTGCAAGAAAACTAAGAGATATGTAACTGTTACAAGACTATAAGTTGTACGCGAATACAATAAAAATATGGGCGGCATTGATTTGGCCGATCGCTTACTTGCAGTCTGTCCTAATAGATACAAAACTAATAAATGGACACAGATTCTTGTCTCATATGATTGATTTAGCCGTTAGTAACTGTTGGGTTGGTTATTAAAAAGGTGTACCAGTGAAAAAAATACTGATGCTCCGAGAATTTAAATTACTACTTGGAGAATATTTGTTAGAAAATATCCTCCGAAGCACAAACAATCAAGAGAGCTCTGATAATAGTGATCTACAGAACCAGAACATTGCACGTAAAAGGAGTAGACCAACTGTTACTCTTCCAACGATGAGACGCCGCACTTCTGAAGCAAAGCACATGCCAATTCTAGAAGAGAAACAGTCCAGGTGCAGGTCCTGCCACTACAATAAAACTCATTTTAAATGTAGTACATGTAATGTTAACTAATGTTTAACTAAACAAAGAAATTGCTGACTGATTTTACTGTGATAATGAAAAAGATTTCATTTTTTAAAGTTTATAAAAAATAAGAGAAGGTTTTGTTTTAATTTTTTTTATTGAAATGTTTAATACTTTGTCCAGAGATGCTGCAATAAAAGTAGATAATTTAATTATTAAATAAAGAGATGAAAGCTTAAGACTGATTATGAATTCCTTATAAATAATATAAAAACATTTTTTGATTTATTTACCCAATTGTACCCAATGTCCTCTAAGAAGGGCAAATAAAATACAGCTGATTTTGTTAATTCTGCCCATTGTCCTGTTAAAAGAACAAAAGATATAGATTTAAAAATACGTTGAATCGTTTCATTACGTCCTGTTTACTGCCATGAAAAAATATAAAAAATATATATCTTTTGCAAGACCTTTTTTTTGTTCTATTTGTTCTGGGTAGGAAGCACTTGTAAAATTGTGTACTTTGTAGAGGACAGCAGGCAGAATTACCAAACTGTTCTTATTAGCTTGGGCAGGACGAGGATATATCGAGGGAAAGGTGAACGTTTATAACAGCACCACAAAAGAAAAGGTATCAAACGTACATTTTGTCAATAATCCCGTGCTATTTCTTTTTCAAGACATACGATATGAACTTAATGGAGTAGAAATAGATAAAATTAAGAATGCTGGTGTCACTACTACAATAAAATCTTATCTATCCTTAAATGAAAATGAATCCAAATGTGCTCGAGTTTGGGGCTGGTCAACTGGCGGAACAAGCAATACTAGTGGTGGAGCGTTTTCCGCGTCTATACCATTGAACAAGATATTAGGATTTGCAGAAGATTATGAAAAAATTATAGTTAATTGTAAACATGAGTTAGTATTATTACGAAGCAATACAAATCTTAATGCGATCAAGTTAAATACAGGTGAAGTTGTAGAAGATATTATAATAAATAAAATAGTTTGGCGAGTTCCACACATCAAAGTATCAGATCGTGAAAGAATCAGCCTATTAAAACTTTTAGAGAAAGATAGAGCTATTCCATTGGCATTCCGTTCCTGGGACTTATATGAATATCCATTGCTACCCAAAACACGTAAACATACTTGGTCTATAAAAACTTCATCGCAAATAGAGAAATCACGATTTGTGGTCATCGCCTTGCAAACCAACCGCAAACATAACGCGAAATTATCAATGGCAGAGTTTGATCATTGTCACGTACGAGATGTAAGAGTCTTTTTAAATTCATCATATTATCCTTATGAGGGGCTGAATGTCAGTTTTTCAGAAGATAAGTTTACTTTATTATACGATCAGTATGCGAGATTTCAACAGTCGTATCATGGACGCCGGTCAGAGCCGTTGATGGGTTTAAAGGAATTCAGAGACGTGGCTCCGTTATTTGTAATTGATTGTTTAAGACAACACGAAACTTTAAAAGGTTCGATCGATGTGAGAGTTGAAATCGAAACAGACCAAGAAATACCAGATCAGACAACCGCTTATTGCTTGATATTAAACGACTGTATATTCGAATACAAACCACTGAGTAATATCGTTAAGAAAATATCATGAATAGCAATACAATAATCGTCGATCTTCAAGGCTTCAAAAATAGCAAAAATAAATTTATAGTAAAGGAATTTGCTATAACCACGCTAGAGTACACCAATATATTCCTAATTAAACCTCCTTACACATTCACTTCACTATCTCCTGAACAGAAGAAAAAAATTGGCTGGATTGAAAAGCACAGGGGGTATCGATGGAGTGAGGGCTTTATTGATTATAGAGAGTTTCACAGAATTATAAAGACATATTTGAAAGATAAAAAGATTTTTTAAAAGGATGTGAAAAAATTAAATGGGTGCAAGATATTTGTGATGAAAATAATACTATCATAGATATAAGTTGCTTAGGAGCTCCCAATTTAAATACTCTTTGTGAACTTTATTGTAAAGATACTTTACTGAATAACTGTTTTACTCATAAGAAAATATGTGCGTTAAAAAATGTTTATGTATTAAGAAATGGTGTTTTGAAAACAAAATAATTGTGTGATTTCCAATAAAATATATGTAAATAAACACTTCATCTTTTAATTTAAACTACCTTTCTGTTCGAGAAAAAGAAAAAAAATAGTTTCAGACCGTTAACGATTAGTACTTATTATTAAAGTAACTGTTTTTTTTTTGTATCACCTTGCATTTTTAACGATGAAATAGATTAGCCTTCATATTTTGTTGTTATATTATTGAACCATTTGTATTTCAGATTCCGAATGAAACGGTATTAGAAATGGAGCAAAGATTAAAAAAAAGCGGATCGAGAATTAGACTAAAAATTTAGACCTCTAATGGAGAGAATTGGGGCCTTCAGCGGCATGTAGCTCGAGCGAAGCGAGAGCAAGTGACGCAGAAGCCCCAATTCACACCTACTATTATGCTCTAGTAGAATCTCGTCTAATCGCATTAAATTTTGGGGAAATAGTAATGATTACAATCTTAAGAAGGCATTTATTGTACAAAAGAGAATAATAAGAACAATGGTGGGCATACCCCAAAGACAGTCGTGCCGAGAACATATGCGAAACCTAAAAAATACTTACTGCGCCATGTCTTTACATTCTAGTTTTTCTTACAGACCTTGTTAAACATTTAGACAGGTATGAAACCGCAGAAGAAAGGGTAAAGCGTCATGACACTAGGCGAAAAGATATTGCGAACCAGCCTAACATACAAATAATTAAACATTGTACAAGATTTCAAGCGGTCCGACTATTTAATAAATTGCCAAATGATTTAAAATGCATAACAAATGTGATCCAATTTTAAAGCAGATTGAGGCTAAGATGTTTTTAAAGTATAGATACGTCATACTCGCTCTAAAATGGCAATACGAAAGTCAGGTAATTGCCCGACTCGCATTCAGTCGGGCACGTTCTCGCGTCTCGGCTATACCTTCGCTACAACGCGTAAATCTTCTAGTTATTCGTGGTAAAAATGCCTTCCTGTGTTTTTAGGTTGTGCACAAATTACTAGTATTAGTGTTGTTGTCTGGTTGAGATTCATAAATATTTATAAAATATATGTTATAAACTACCATAAGCATTTAATACAATAAATAAAGTGTATATTTCATATATACCAACGTAAATTAACACCTTAACCCTGCTGTGTTTCGTGTGGTGAGTGTAAAAAACCGGAGACCCTTTTTACTGTAAAAGAGGCATTGCATCTTAGTCCTCACGGGTGATCATCTGCATTTTGTTCGTAATCGAGGATAGGTGTAGATGTCTATGGGTGACAGCAACCACTTACCATCAGGTGGACTGTGTGCTCATTTGTCACACTACCCTATAAAAAAAAGATGCGTTGCGGTAAAACCGGACGGATTTGCGACTAGTTGAAAGAGTCTGGCAAAAACTTTATTTTCTCGACATCCGTATGTACGTCAGATTTATGGAACATGGCGCAAATCGTTAGTGGTTAAACATAGTTTAGCTATGAGAACCTTTTGCTTTTGTAACCCCAACTGCTTTAAACGTGTACGAAGACAAGTCATGCTTTTTTATATGCATGATAAAGAATTTGCCATCAAGGGGTAAGACCGGGCTTAAATTTAAAGCCACTTCTACTGTTTAGAGAACAAAGTTAATAAAAGGAATTTGTTAATTCTTTAACGCTTAAAAAGATATGTCTATATGATCTATAAATTACTATAAACATAAATGTTCCAACCAATTTTTTCTCTGTTTTTTGATATCCGATCTTATCCCTTATATAAAGCAATTGTAAAACATCTTTGGTTATGACATAAGATGTAATTACTCAATATAAGGGAAAGATCAGATGCATTTGATTTTTTTACAGGGTAAGAAAATTTTATTTAAAACATCTAGATTTTTTAAATAAAATGTAAGTAAGGACTGGCGAAATGCGCTGTAACAATAAGTAAGTATTTTAGCAAAGCTATGATGAAGCTGTGCCTGCAGTCTCGACCATGGAGTATAGAGTAGAAGGAGGACCATCTCTGTATATGAAAAGTGTCCGTAAAAACGCGTCCAATAAGGGTGGCGCTGCGGTAGCATAGGATAAATTTAAAAAAAAGCGCCAAAAGTAATTAGAATACGATGGAGAAATAAACAAGGACCGACCAATCCACTTGGTTTTGGCCCACTTTTCAAACAATATATATGGTCGGAGCAACATATGATATTATGATTTATAATCATAAAGGGAATATAAATTTAAAATTAAAAAAGCGTCGTTTCATACAATCAAATTAACAAACGTTTAAACTATTTTTTTCAGTCAGAAATTGTAATGCGGAAAATTTGAGGGAATTACAAGTAAAATTTGAAATTATTTTAACTTGTTAAAAATTTATTTGTTGAAAGAAAAATAACAAGTCTTATGGAATAAATAAGGTGTAAATGCAAAATAAATCAACAAGCGTGTTATTCAACGATTTATATTATTAAATTATATAAATAAACGATTATATTTTCAACAATAGTATTACGGGAGTCGCAGGAAGAGTAATAACACACTTGATTACTTGTTGTTTGCTTTAGGCACACACACTGTCCACGGAGGCGTAGCTTCTTAGACGCGTATTCGTCATTATACGCTTGGTGTACGCTTGCTTGCAGCTTACATACAAAACAATGTAACTCTGTCGACGGAGCGGCAACGTCGCGCTCGCGTCGCTGCACGCAAGCTTCATGACGCCTGCCGTACTTGCTGTCATACGCCGGGGCGTACATGGAGTGAATGCACGTGTTTTTTATTGTAAAAAATGGCGGGAACGGCTGCCAAATTTGTTCAGATAATAGAAAAATATCCGTGTTTGTATAACAATAATCTTGCTGAATATGCTAGAAAAGATTTAAGGCTGCGTCCCCAGTAGGCAAACTGTTAGCCGCCGACTGAGTTAACGGCGTATCGGTTTAGTACGCCCTTCCATATATTTCAAATGGAGTGTTCACAGTTTGCTAGTTTTGCGCTCACTGTACGCAGTTTGCAGCGTTACGCGTGCCAACTATCTTAGTGAGCGGCCGCCTCCCACCAAAACCGGTTCCAGTCGGCGGCGGCGATTGGTTGTTCGCCGGGCGTAGTGACTCAGTTTGCCGCAAACTGATTATTCGGATAGTTGAAAAAAAGCTATCATCGTGTTAGGACGTGTTTTTTGCATCGCACCTAACTAATCTCAACGCACACACACATCACTGAAAATCCAAGATGTCCTTTGATACGGAAAGGTTCATTAGTGAAATACAGAATAGACCATGCATATGGAACATGTCGAGTGAAGAATACAGCAACAGAGTATTAAAGCAGAGCAATTGGAATGAAGTCGCTGATATTATATACGATGATTGGCAAAACTTAGAAGAAAACACTAAACAAAAAAGAAGTAAGTTCCATTCTAATGAATTTATTATTTATTCAACAATATACTTGTATCACTCACTACATAAAACAAAGTATCATAATTTACATAGTATTTACGGCTTTACACACTCCGTTACACTATTTCTTCCTGTAGCCACAACTTACAAATATTTCTCTTGCCAGGGTAGCTTTCCTTCGTTAAGAAAATAGTTTTTAAAGTTTTCTCTTGTTATTTTTCCAGAATTTGATACAGTAATAATTTGGCTCCTTGAACTTGTAAGAGTTATTGAGGTACGTCGCGAAATTTGTGCATATTGTGCTTGTTCTCTTGCTATGACAAAATTATGTAAAATACAAACAGCTTTTACGATAGCGATGGTTGTATTCACATTAGTAGCGATCGGTGTATGCAGAACTCTCCATTTGCTTGTTAGGATGCCAAATGCACATTCCACGCATCTCCTAGCTCGACTATGACGATAATTGTAAATTCGCTCTTCCTTATTTAAACTTTTATTAGGAAAAGGCCTCAAGATATGCTTTTGTAATCCAAATGCCTCATCTCCAAGAAACACGAAAGGTTGGGGCAATCCATTTGAATTAGGCAATTTAGTTGAGTTAGGAATCTTCAGAGACCCACACGCCAATTTTTTGCCAAAACCACTTTCTTTAAATATATTACTGTCAGCATTTCGTCCGCAAGCACCTACATCAATAGCTATAATAGAACAGTTTGCATCTGCTACGGCTAACAGAACAATTGAGAAGAACTTCTTATAATTAAAATAGTTAGACCCACTTTTTGGTGGTTTTCTAATACGGATATGCTTGCCATCGATAGATCCTATACAATTAGGATAGTTGGTTTTTTTATAATATCGTTTTGCTATTTCTAGCCACAATTCTTCAGAAGGTTCCGGCATTTCCTGTGGCTGTAAAATATCCCATATAATGCATGCAGTTTCACTTATTATTTTCGATACCGTCGATTTTCCAACAAGAAACTCTTGTGCAATTTTTCTGTAACATAGTCCACTTGACAGGAATCTGGAAAGAATATTGAACTACCGATTATTTCTGTTTCAGTAAAAGACCTACAAAAAAAATGGAAGGGTTTGCGCGACTATCACACCAGAGAAAAAAATAAGGATTCCTCAGTCAAAAGCGGAAGTGGGGCAACAAAAAAACGCAAGACACCATACTTGGACATGTTACACTTTTTAAATGTTTCTAGAGCTAGCAACCAGACATCTGGCAATATTAGCGCCGAGACGTCTAGCGACAGTAGCGCTATTTTAGATGAAAATGATTCTACTGACTCGGTAGTTAATGTCAGTAGACCAAAAAAGATGACTGTGTTTCAAGAAGCACTAATTAACTCGATGGAAAAAAAAAGAGAAAACGATCCAGATATGAATATATTTAACAGTGGTAGAGCCACGCGGCAGCTTTTACTGTCGCACGGATGGGCCGGTTCGAACCGGGGTGGTACCACGACCTCACAGAATACCAGCGTGAAGTAGAGGTTTACCTCTGCGTTTCGCTCGGTGAGTGCAGGTGGCCGGAGGCCCTTTTTACTGGAAATGAGGCATTCCATCTTAGTCCTCACGGGTGGCAACGCATCTGCATTTTGATTCGCAAACGAGGATAGATGTAGATGTCTATGGGCCGCAGCAACCACTTACCATCAGGTGGACTGTGTGCTCGTTTGTCACCCTTATCCTATATAAAAAAACAAAAAAAAATGAACTTTCTACTAAATATTTTACCGGAAATGAAGACAATGTCCCCAACACAGAATTTTGAATTTCGGTTCGAAGTGATGAAAATTATTAAAAATATAAAATATAGTGTACATAATAATTATGACGGTGGTATGATGCAAACTGGATGGACGAATGCCTACCAGTACCCACATCAGTATGGCTATGCGAGTGGAAGCAGCAGTACACCAAATGTGCAAAACTACCCTCGCTTTAATTAATTTTTACATAGACAAACGTCTATTAAATTATTTTTTTTTCGAGTAGTTCAAAATTTTAGATTTTCATCCCGTTTTTGCTTCAGTTAGGTCCGTACAGCTCCACATCTGACTCCCCAGCCTAAATCTGAAACAAAAACACGCGAATTAGCGAAAATTTTTATAAATTGTGAAACCGAGGTATAGTGGTTAAGTCCAAATTCAATAAAAATTAACTATATCTCTGCCGAATATTGTCTGAAAATTAATTTTTATATCTTAAATTACTAGGCTCATTTAGACCTTTCTATTTGCAACGTTTTTTAAATTGATTTTGGCAATTTTTAATCTTTTAAATTTTACATAGACGTTTATTAAATTATTTATTTTTATCGAGTTGTTCAAAATTTTAGATTTTTATCCCGTTTTTGCTTCAGTTAGGTCCGTACAGCTCCACAACTGACTCTCCAGCCGAAATCTGAAACAAAAACATGCGAATTAGCGAAAATTTTTATAAATTGTGAAACCGAGGTATAGTGGTTAAGTCCAAATTCAATAAAAATTAACTATATTTCTGCCGAATATTTTTATATCTTTAATTACTAGGCTAATTTAGACCAATCTATTTGCAACGTTTTTGAGTCGATTTTGGCAATTTTTAAACTATTAATTTTTACATAGACGTTTATTAAATTTTTTTTTTCGAGTAGTTCAAAATTTTAAATTTTCATCCCGTTTTTGCTTCAGTTAGGTCCGCACAGCTCCACATCTGACTCCCCAGCCGAAATCTGAAACAAAAACACGCGAATTAGCGAAAATTTTTATAAATTGTGAAACCGAGGTATAGTGGTTAAGTCAAAATTCAATAAAAATTAACTATATCTCTGCCGAATATTTTTATATCTTAAATTACTAGGCTAATTTAGACCTATTTATTTGCAACGTTTTTAAGTCGATTTTGGCAATTTTTAAACTTTTAATTTTTACATAGACGTTAATTAATTTTTTTTTTTCGAGTAGTTCAAAATTTTAGATTTTTATCCCGTTTTTGCTTCAGTTAGGTCCGTTCAGCTCGAAAACTGACTATCCAGCCATAATCTGAAACAAAAACACGCAAATTAGCGAAAATTTTTATAAATTGTGAAACCAAGGTATAGTGGTTAAGTCCAAATTCAATAAAAATTAACTATATCTCTGCCGAATATTGTCTGAAAATTGTGTTTTATATCTTAAATTACTAAGCTAATTTAGACCTATCTATTTGCAACGTTTTTGAGTCAATTTTGGCAATTTTTAAACTATTAATTTTTACATAGACGTTTATTAAATTATTTTTTTTTCGAGTAGTTCAAAATTTTAGATTTTCATCCCGTTTTTGCTTCTGTTAAGTCCGTACAGCTCCAAAACTGACTCCCCAGCCAAAATCTGAAACAAAAACACGCAAATTAGCAAAAATTTTTAATGAATTGTGAAACCGAGGTATAGAGGTTAAGTCCAAATTCAATAAAAATTAACTATATCTCTGCCGAATATTGTCTGAAAATTGTGTTTTATATCTTTAATTACTAGGCTAATTTAAACCTATCTATTTGCAACGTTTTTGAGTCGATTTTGGCAACTTTTAAACTTTTAATTTTTACATAGTCGTTTATTAAATTATTTTTTTCGAGTAGTTCAAAATTTTAGATTTTCATCCCGTTTTTGCTTCAGTTAGGTCCGTACAGCTCCACAACTGACTCCCCAGCCGAAATCTGAAACAAAAACACGCGAATTAGCGAAAATTTTTATAAATTGTGAAACCGAGGTATAGTGGTTAAGTCCAAATTCAATAAAAATTAACTATATCTCTGCCGAATATTGTCTGAAAATTGTGTTTTATATCTTAAATTACTAGGCTCATTTAGATCTTTCTATTTGCAACGTTTTTTAAATTGATTTTGGCAATTTTTAAACTTTTAATTTTTACATAGACGTTTATTAAATTTTTTTTTTCGAGTAGTTCAAATTTTTAGATTTTCATCCCGTTTTTGCTTCAGTTAGGTCCGTACAGCTCCACAACTGACTCCCCAGCCGAAATCTGAAACAAAAACACGCGAATTAGCGAAAATTTTTATAAATTGTGAAACCGAGGTATAGTGGTTAAGTCCAAATTCAATAAAAATTAACTATATCTCTGCCGAATATTGTCTGAAAATTGTGTTTTATATCTTTAATTACTAGGCTAATTTAGACCTCTCAGTGGCCATCATTTCTTCGGCCGCCGCCGGTACCCCGACTCTTGAAGGTGTCAGGAGGGGTCAGGGGTGCGTAGCAGCACGGTTCGGGGAGTTCGTCGTTGTGGGGGTGTACTTCTCCCCGAACCGATCTCTCGCCGAGCTCCACAACTCTCTTGCAGAGCTGAGAGCAGTCGTCGTCGGAAGCTATCCCCTCCCCGTGCTTGTCCTCGAGGACTTCAATGCCAAGAACTTGGCTTGGGGTTCTCGTCGTACAGATGTGCGGGGTAGGATGGTGGAAGACTGGGCTCTGGAGACAGGCCTGGTCGTCCTAAATCGGGGTTCTGTCCCTACGTGTGTGCGGATGCGGGGCGAGTCGGTGGTGGACATTTCGTTCGCTAGCCCCGCTCTGTCGCCGCGTGCCATTGACTGGCGAGTCATGGAGGGGGTGGAGACCTACTCCGACCACCGGTACATCCGGTTTGACGTCTCCACCCAGCCCTCGAGCGCGCCAGTCCAACAGGCCCCGAGTGGTCCGCGTTGGGCGCTGAAGCAGCTGGACCGGGAGCTCCTCCTGGAAGCCTCGATCGTGCAGGCCTGGGTGTCATCACCGGATAGGCCTGCCGACGTCAATGATGAGGCAGGGTGGTTCCAGGAGGCCATGTCCGAGATATGTGACGTGGCAATTCCCCGGTCCGGCCAGGAAGCGCCCGGCGTCAGGTGTATTGGTGGTCGCGTGAGCTGACGTCTCTGCGCGAGGCGTGTGTCGCCGCGCGGCACCTGTACGCCAGGCATCGCAGGCTCCGCATTCGTCCACCGAATGCGGCAGCCATTGAGGCGGAGCTGTACGAGGGATACAGAGCGGCGAAGACCGCCCTCCGGGAGGCTATCATGCGGGCCCGGGATCGGGCCCGTGAGGAGATGCTGGAGACTCTCGACAGAGATCCGTGGGGGCGCCCTTACAAGATGGTGCGGGATAAACTCCGCACCTGGGCCCCCCCGCTGACGCAGAGTCTCCGGCCTCAGCTCGTGGAGGACGTGGTGAGCGCTCTGTTTCCTGCGCGAGGGGAACATCCGCCCCCGCCTATGGCTCCGCCACCTGCGGTGCCGGAAGCGGACCACCAGGACGACGACGACGGCATCCCGGAAGGGACCGGGGTAGACCTGAGAGTGGCGGTACGTAGGCTCAAGGCCAGGAATACCGCCCCAGGACCCGATGGCTTGCCTGGCAAAGCCTGGGTCCTGGCCTCGGAGGCTCTCGGGCCCCGACTGGAGGGGCTCCTAAGCGCATGCTTGGAGAGAGGCCAATTCCCGCTTCGTTGGAAGACGGGGAAGCTGGTCCTCATTCGGAAGCCGGGGCGCCCTGCGGACTCTCCGTCCGCATACCGGCCCGTGGTGCTGCTCGACGAGGTGGGCAAGCTCTTTGAAAGAGTCATTGCAAACCGTCTCGCCGAGCACCTTGCGGGGACGGGGCCGGATCTTGCGGAACACCAGTTTGGTTTCCGCAAGAGGCGCTCTACGGTGGATGCCATCATGCGCGTGAGAGCCCTCACGACGGGGGATGCAGTGGCCAGGGGGGGGGGGGGTTGTTTTGGCGGTGTCTCTCGACATCGCCAACGCCTTCAACTCCATGCCCTGGAGCTGCATTAGGGAGGCACTCCGGTATCACCGGGTGCCGACCTATCTCCGTCGTATAGTCGGGGACTATCTGACGGATAGGGCCGTCATTTACCCCGGTCGCAACGGTGAGTGGAACCGGCGAGAGATGTCGTGCGGTGTCCCACAAGGTTCGGTTCTGGGGCCGCCCCTGTGGAACATCGGTTACGACTGGGTGCTGCGCGCCGACCTCCCTACCGGCGTCAGCGTAGTT